AGCTCGGCCGACAATTTCTTGGTTTTCTCAGCAGGGTCGCTGGACGTCAAGACCTTGAAGCCGAAGTCGCCCGCTGTCGCTGGGGTGCCGGGAGACTGGTCCTGAGAAACCTCGCAGAATGCCATGTAGGCGAGAATCTGACCCCAACCTGCGGCAGGAACCTTGGAAATCGCAGCGAGGCCGTTGGGGACGTCCGCAAATTTAAGGCCAGCGCTTGGGGAAAGATAACCAGGGAACTTGCCCGTGATCCTTGTCGAAACGCATCACAAGATCTCGAGCTATTGACACATCTGTCACAAGCAACACTTCATGCACACCATCTAACGAAACATCACTTCTCGCCGACGAGTTGCTCCGGAGTGATGTATCCCATTGTCGCGAGCATGGAAATTCTTCCGTGCTTCAGCTCGGTCTGGCGGCGGCGCTTGAAGTTCTCCACGCTGCCATCTGCGGTGAACCCAGCGGGATCCCAAAATCCAACAGGGTCTTGCACTCCGAGCTCGTTCTCGAATGCACGCAGAGGCGAGGCGGTGTAGTTGGCCCAGTCGCCCCACGCGCTTCCGGTCAGGCCATCCTTGTATCTTGTGTACACAACGAAACATGCACAAGTGGTTACTTGATGTATACACAACTAAGCATCTTGGGTGGCACATACTACTGAGTACTGACAGCTCACCTGAAAGAACATTCCGATGATGGCCATCATCGCCAGCCTTCCGTTGGCAAGCTCCGCTGCGAGCTTCTTCGTCTTGGTCTCAGCATCGTCGGAAGTCAGCACCTTCCATCCGAAATCGCCTGCAGCACCCGGGGTGCCCGGAGACTGGTCCTGAGATGTCTCGCAATACGCCATCCACAAAAGGATCTGGGTCCAGCCGGAAATCGGAACTTTGGAAATGGCTGCAAGGCCATTCGGAACGTCGGCAAACTTGATTCCCAAAGTTGGGGAGAGGTAGCCTGGCCACTTGCTGAATTCTGGTGTGATATATCCCATTGTTGCAAGCATTGCGATCCTCCCGTGTTTAAGCTCTGTTTGGCGGCGACGGGCAAAGTTCTCCGAGTTGCCGTCCTTTGTAAACCCAGCGGGATCCCAGAAACCCACTGGTGCCTGCACACCAAGTTCGCTCTCGAATGCACGCAGAGGCGAGGCG